TGGCTTTGATAATGATCCTCAGATGTCAGCCTCCAAGTAGCTAGGATTACAGGGGTGAGCCACCAGTGCTGAGCTACTATTTTTTTTTATAACTAGCATGTTAGATGTATATACTAAAAAGACTACAAGTGTTACTTTAAAAGAAGAAAATCATAAATCTAAGTCAGAGAATTAAGGCTCCTACCTCAAAGAAAGCAAAATTCCTTAACCTGTCTATAGTCATTGAAACTAAATTGATTAGGTGTTTGATGCCATTGTAAGAATAGAAAGTAATAACATAGTTCAGAACCAGTACCTGCATGAGGCAGGCCTATGTGGTAGGTCATGGGGTATCAGATTCGATTACAGGTGCAAATCAGTGGAAAGGCAGCCAGTGGGAGGAACAGGAGCAGGGCTCCAGCCAGTGATGGAAAATTCTGGGGCTTAGTCTTGTGTCTGTCAGTGACTAATCTTCCCCTTCTTGGAGCCTTAGCCTCCCTTCTGTATGTAGTAAATGAGGAGTCACTGTCACAGGTGTGGACCAACACTAACATCTTATGAGTCTGTATTGCACTAGCGGATTTTCTTTATATGGGAGAGAATTCTCATTTTAGGAACTATCTCAACTGGGAACTATCTCAACTGAGATAGTTTTTGAGAAGATCTTCACAACTTTCCAGTCACCTTTCCCTAGCACTGTGAAAAAAAATCACTGATATTTCTTAGTATCATTTTTTAAATTTAGGTTCAAGTTTAATTATGTTTTGGGCCTCTTTTACTTGTGCTATCTCACCTGCAAGGTCAGAGAAAACCCAGACTGTCAGGATTCTGCCTTTTAAAGGTGATACATTCTATTTTAATACTGTACCCTATCCATTCAATGAATGTAATCTGATGTTTCAGGAAAAAGAATGCAGCACAATGATCCAACACACTAGACATTTCCAGATAAAAGTAGAATATAATTTCATCCTTTCTGGTAATTGAATTCCAGTAAGTCACAAGCCTGCCTCTTCTTCTGGCTAAGTTGTGGTAGTAGCTATAGATGACTTTCCATGGTTGTGTGCTGGAGGGATGTCAGCTTGGAGAGCCTGTGAGAAGACTGGTAAGTGATGAGCTGTTTTGTTTAAGTGACTCTGGTGGGTAGGGGGGCAGGGTGAGGAGAGGAATATGTGACTCAGACTCTCCTTGTATGCAGAACAAATTCAGACCTTGTTAGGGTAGGTTCAGAATATGCCATATAAAGCCAGTTAAAGGTATTACAATCCAAACAGAAAGGGAGAATGGGGCAGCAAAGACAGCTACCGTGAGAAAATAAATACAGGAGAGGAAATTTCAGAGATTTGATATTTGGGATCCTGGCTTCCATTTCTCTCTTCCTATTTGTTTCTTGATTGATTGGAAAACTACTAATGAGTATGTTTACAACTTCTCTAGTTGTCTTAGCCATATGTGAGACCAGCTGGGGAGAGTGATTTGTTCCTGTGTGGCGCTCACTGTTTATCCCTCTGAGTCTCCTTCCCTCTCTTGGCTGCCAGACACCCTAGGCCATGCCAGACTCTCCCACTGTCTGTCTCCCAAGTCCTTTCCCAGGGCTCAGCCTGTGCTCCCCATTAGCTGATAGCTCCATCACATTTTCTATTGCTCATATATCCCCTCTCTTCCCCTCTTGCTGTCATTTGTTGGACTTTGAAGGTGAGTTGCAAGGAAGGTCTTCAGTACCCGCCATCCTCTCAGCCTCAGGAAAAAAGAAGTGAAAAAATGCACTAGAATAAATCACAGTCCTAGGTCTTGAACTTGGCCAGGGCACTGTCCTTAAGCTTTTGCTCAAGGCTAACACTCTACCACTTGAGCCACAGTTCAACTTCTGGCTTTTCTGGTAGTTAATTGGAATTAGAGTCTCATAGACTTTCCTGCCTCGGCTGGTTTCAAACGTCTATCCTCTGATCTCAACTTCCTGAGTAGCTAGGATTACAGGTGTGAGCCATTCTAGAGCATTTAAAGGTTAAACATGTAGCTACTGGAGAATGCCTGATCTCCCTGTGAGTCATCTGACTTCTAAGGGTGCATGGACATCTCTCAGTAAAGCCCTTTTCTGTCAAAGGCTCTCTTGGTCACTTTCTGCAACTGCTCCTTCCTACATAAGGGCTTCTTCTTGGCTACTAGGCTGGGCCCTGAGGTGGTTTCTTTCTTCATTCATTAGTTAGGATGATGATTTGGTGACACAATTCTTCCTACACTTTTCCTAATTTATTGAACTATGAATGAACAAAGATTCTCATTTCTCTTGTCAGCACAGATTTGACAGACTAAATTCCAATGCCTGCAAACACCATCCTTTTTTCTTTCCTCCCCTGCTCTTTTTCTTACCTTTGTTGCCTTCTTTCTCTGACTTCTCTCTCTTTTACTTCCTTTCCTCCCTTCTTTCTTCCCTCTCTCCATCTCTGCCTTCCTCTTCCCCTTCCTCCCTCCTTTTCTTCTCTTCCTCCCTCCATTCTGTTCTTTGTTCCTCACCCCTTCCCTCCTTTGTTCCCTCCCCCCTCCCTCCCTCCCCCTTTCC